AATCTCATGATTTTTTTTAACACATTAACATAATATTTTCCTGATTTCATTAAGAATTCTTCATAAATATAAGTTTTTAAGAGAGAGAGAGAGAGAAACAAGCAGGGAGAGCAGCAGAGGGAGAGGGAGAAGCAGACTTCCCACCGAGCAGGGAGCCCAGTTCGGGGCTTGATCCCAGGACCCTGTGATCATGACTTGAGATGAAGGCAGATGCTTAACCAATTGAGCCACCAGGTGCCCCTATAAATATAATTTTTAATGGCTGCAGAAAATTCCAACTATGAATATACTGTCCCCTAATCAGTTTCCTATTGGTGAGCATTGAGATAATGTTCCTTTCCCCCCACCTTTGGGCTATTAATAAGTAAAAATGAGAATAATACTTTTGTATCAATCTTGGTTCATATTTTAGATAATTTCCATTTCATTCTTCCATTAACAACTATTTTTTGAGTGTTTACTCTGGGTCAGGTGCTGTGCTGTGTGCTGAGGATCCATGGGGTAGAGATGGACAGGTGTGGACTTTGCTTTCACAGATAGAGCTCCTATTCTAAGGGTGAGACAGATAATAAATGTGCGAAGAAACCCAATACTTGCAGATAGTGATGGGTGCTGCCAAGAAAAGAAATAGGGTGTGTGACAGAGAGTCCCTAATAAGGGCATTGGGCAGGGAGGTCATGGAAAACCTCTCAGAATAATTGAGATGGGTCATGGAAAACAGTGCAAGGACTAAGGTGAGGCAGATGAGGTGCCTAGACCCCCAAATATTAGGGAGGCACTCACTGGCAGGTCTGTCTGCACATGACCTTGAGAGCGAGTGCCTCCTTCAATTTGGCACCCTAGGCACTTCACTCACCTCACCCAAGTCCCAACCCTGATGGCAACAAATATAGGAAAGGCATTGCAGGGAGAGGGAAGAACAGAAAATCAGTCCCTATGACTGGAGTGGAGGGGAGAAGTGCTAAGGGAGCCCCGAAGCAGAACCACCAAAAGAAACAAGATAACATTTTTTTGAAAGTTTTGAGAGTTGATCACACTTGATGTATTTTTTTTTAAGTATCCAAGTAGTTGCCATGGGAAAAACTGGTCTTCACTTCTTCTTTTTCTACCCCCCAGTGGTTTAGAATTGTTTTTATTTTTTTTAAAGATTTTATTTATTTATTTGACAGAGAGAGACACAGCGAGAGAGGGAACACAAGCAGGGGGAGTGGGAGAGGGAGAAGC